TCTGTCCAGGGTTCAAATTACTGGGGGAGCTCAGGGAGTTTGAGTCCTTCCCCCCCCCCTCCATAAGAGATGAGAGCCCTCCAATAAGGGGCAAGAACCCCACTGTGGGCCAGCACCCCTTTCCTCTCCCCCCCGCAACAACCCAAAGCCCATGTGCCACCATGCACAGCCCACAGCCTGCCCTGCACCTTTCTAAGCAGCCCAGGCAACCGCGGCAGCTCCTTCTGGCTGCCAACACCACTGGCCTCAGCCCCCACAGTACTGTGCACAACCCTGACCCCAGTCATTTTTGTTTGCAGACCCCCCAAGAGTCAAAGTGTAATATGAGCCCTGCTTCTGTCCCTAGCCTTGAAGTAGCTTATACCAGCCAGCCCCCCTGTCACTAAAGGCTAATGTACATGCATAATGAAGAAGAAAACTGGGAAAGAAGAGTTTAAAATCCAAACCTTTTAAGGCCTAACATAAACAGCAAATAACATGTTGAAAAAATACAGGTTATGGAGTCTTGAACTGAGTTGTGAACCACTTCAAATGAGGTTCAAAATTTGGGGGTTGATGGCGTAGGAGGCCCCTTCCATTCCCATGTTCTTATGTAAGATTGTATGTATAAGTGCAGGAGTATTTTATTTAAAGATACATAGATGGACTCTGTCACATCTTAGAGAGGGGTCAAGTGCCAAACCTGTACATTATGGCAAAAAGAAAAAAAAAAGGGTTTGTGTATGAATTTAAGATTAGATCAGACTATCTTTTTGGGAAACACTGTGGACATCAATACACTTTACTTTTGTTCAGAGAAACATCAGGATGACTCTGATGCAGAGAGATTTCGTGCCACAAATTTATAAAAAGAGGCTAAAATCAATCAGGTGCATGCTCCATCTAAATCTGCAAAGCCATAAATAACAAAGAACTTTATTTAGATCTCATCAAAAGCCTTTCACTTCTCCCAAGGAAAAAATATGATTCTGATCACCAGCATCCTCAATTAAATGTTGTTTTTGTGGCGTTATATTTGTCATTCTACAAGCTAGTGCTCGTTTCAAAAATAGAAATATTAATGTATGGAGATGCTTGAGTGTGCCAAATAATATTGGATCTAGCATATAAAGGAAAAGCTCAAGAGATACAGAAGTCTGGCAGTCTGCCATTTAGAGATGAAAGAATAATAATTTGTATGATAAGAAAGTTTGCAAAAATCTTCCATGTAAGAACAATAAAAATTATGATCTATGTTTATAACCTGGTATTTCTAGATTATTTACAAGTCTAGTGGTTGGCTATACAAAAAAATGCATATTAATTTGTGCAAAAAAATCTTTGCTTTAATACATTAATGCTCCCAACCCCATCCCCCCAAAAAATCAATTCTCTCTTTCTTGTTTAAAAAAAACCTCAGCAACGTATTCAGGTTTTAAACTGAGTGGACATTTCTGTAATCTGAATGTCTGAGAAGAAAGATGGGAGATTTGCTTACATGAGGTCTTTGGAAAGAAGGTTCTCAGTAATTGTAAATATGGTTTTATTTATGTGCTTAGTATTGGCTGTGGTCACCATTTATTTAATGGCATTTTACCACAGATACTAGTGTATGACAAGAGTGGGCAAATGCTACCTTTTACAATTGCCACCAATACTTCTCTGAATACACTAACACCACAGCCCTCATCTAGTCTATATAATCTTGGTGGATGGCAGGTTATCTGATGACCTTAAACAGCCCCAAGAACACAGGGCCCTAATACTTTAAAGCAGCATTTCTTAACCAGTGGGTCGTGACCCAGAAGTGGGTTGTAAGAATATTTGAAAGGGTCACAAACAGGTCCCCAGAAAAACCTGTGAAAGTGCAGGTTTCCCCTTGCAGGCTGGCAGTGTTCAAGCCTACAAGTGGCTGCTTGGGATGATTGGAGGCAGCAGGCACACGTGCGCCTGCCCACATGCGAGGCCGAGTCGTGGGAGCAGCCCCAGCCGCTGGACACAGGTAAGTATAGGGAGCAGGGGATGAAGGTCCAGGGGACTGTCCAGAGGGCTGGGAGGTGGTGTAGAGGGTGTCTGTGCGTGTGTGTGTGTGTGTGCATGTGCAAGTGTGTGCCTGCCTGCCTGCCAGTGCTGGGTACAGTGGCCAGGCGTGGAGCTGTGGCAGGGCAGGGGGAGTGGGGAGAAGGCCCCTGGCCTTTCTGCGGGGGAAGGAGGTGAGGGCAGTCCTTCACAGTGGGGGGCTACACGCCTGGGAGGGTGGCACAGGGCCAGGGCCCATACACACAGGGGCCTGCACTCACTGCTTACACTCTGGCCTGAGCGGGGAGGAGGCAGCTGGGGGCCCCCTCTGGCAGGGCGGGGGCGGAGGGGGAAGGGGACTGCAGATTGGCAATGAGGGGCACCAGCATGACTCGGGGGAGGGGGCTGTGGCTTGGGGTTGAGGGGTACCAGCAGGCCGGGGGGGGCAGATGACTGTGGGTCAGGCACCAACAGGGCCAGGGGGATGTGGGTCAGGACAAGCCATTGATTTTGACAAATGGGTTCCAGTACAAAAAAGGTTGAGAACCACTGCTTTAAAGGCAATGCTTCCAAGGTGCGGTATAATTAACAGGGTTTACAGTTTCCTACCAGCTAGCCACAGAGGAGTAAATCAGCATATGTTCACGTAAGCAGAAAACAGCATGTGGTCTGACTAGTTTGGGATGATCACAGTCTAATATAGACACTTTAGCTATTTCAGAATGTAGGAAAAGAAAGAAAAGGGGTAAATCATTCTGCTTTCCCCTTTTTAATTGCCTACATTCCAATAGTTCCTGTCTCCGGTATTAAAGTGAATCTGTATGCCACCCTGAATAGCTTATGATCACTGTGGTTCTTGTTTATAAGTGAAGCAGGCTGCATCAGGACTTGGTACAGTTGCATATCTCTAGCTGATAGAAAGTGCTGTTTTAAGTCAAGAGGCTTCAGCTTGGTCTTTGTACAAGATTGGCATTTGGGTAAGTTGCTACAATGCATATACAAAAAGAAATTACTCATAATGGAAGCATAAAAAATAGCTCTGCTAGGTCAGCTCAAGTATTCTGCAGATGATGAACAAAGCAGAGTTTGTCATTTGTCTCACTGTGAATGATGGCAATATTCCTCCAGTTTATATGAAACAATGACTTGAAGTACAGCACATCAGTGCATTCCTTTTGCAGCAGTACAGACAACTTTTCAGCTGTTTGCAAAGAAAAGTTTTAACTTTCATATAAGCATTTGTGTGTGGCGTTACCAGGTGCACTTACACCATACTGAGGTAAAGTTAGGATGTGCTGTGAGCAGTTGCACATTAGGGGTTAATACTGTTTCTTGTCTGCACAGCTCTGACTTGCCTCTAGAGGGCTGGTAAGCAGAGGCATAGTTATAAGCCAAGACACCTGGGCTCTATCATTGCTCTGCCTGGTGGTGAAGAAGGGGACAGGGTGTCAGTGGTGTATTCTATGATGCTGGAGGACTACAGATTGCTCATTTTACTGCTTTGGAGCAGACTGAGGTTGCCCTAACATGAACTAGGTAGCACAGCCCAGAGTTAACCCTCACCTGAAGTGGCATAACTTTGAGATGCTCAGAGGGTATTTAGCATGAGTTAACAAGCTTTAACATGCAGATGTTCACATTTTAAATGTCCTTAGTATGATCTAAGTATAACAAACTTCACCCTAAGTTCACTAGCACATTTAATTGAGGTGGGGGTAAAGAAGTAGGAAGATGGAAAGATAGAGGCACAAAAAAGTTTTTAAAAGGAAAAGAAAGGAGGAGAGGATTGTAAAGTATAGCTTATTATGGCAACATAACTTTAGAGAACTAAAGTTAGGACAAGCATTCCTTCTTGGTGCTGTAAAATCATGTGTTCTGCCATCTGTAAATCATCCTGTAAGTAAATTAAATTCACACCTGGATGTGGTCATTGTTAATATTTCCCATTTTATGTAATACATTTGTCTTTAAATAGATAAGTCATTGGAATCCGAAGTTGAAGGTGCTGATTTCATACTTTTCAAAGCATTTCATCAGTATAACAAAGATGCCTTGATAGATTACTATTCAAATGACGGAGCTATCTAGAGATAACCTAGCCCATGATTGGAATCTGCATCTTTACAGAACTAAAACTGTACTGGCTCAGACTTTGATAAGGATAATTACTTTGATTAATTACATGGTGGAAGCACCAGAAATACTGTGTTGTGCAATTTTTTAAGCTGAAGAGCTAGGGAGGGACTTTCCAAAACAAAATATTCCCAATAGACTTTTTAAAGCACAAAATAAAAGAAAAGGGGAAAATTGGGGATAAATGTGGCAGTAATTCTTGGGGTGGGTGGGAGACTTAAGAGTCCACAGCAGAATACATTTATACATTTCAACCTGCGTCCATTGGTGAATTTAAATGAAACCCATAAAATGCTATTATCTGTGTGACTAGACTATTGCTAGTATTTGCTAATTTTACTGTTCAATCCAACCACTACCTATTATATAAAACACTTGTATAGTCAATAAAATTTGTTATACTTCTTTCAATCAGTAGTTTTGATAGCTGAAATCTCATTCTGCCATCCTTTCATTCCCTAAGTAGATATATAGGACAAGAGCCATAATGGGACTTAGGGGTAGTTGATGAATTAGGCATCCATAAGTCTAAAGCTTAGGTGATCAAAACAACCGTTCAGCTTTCACCTAACTAGGGGGTATCTAAAGTTTGATCACTAATGAGCCACAGGTTTGACCCATCTACAAGTTTGCTTCTGAACATAACAGCATTGAAAACTGTTTTTTGAGTCACTAGTGCCTAAACCCTGGTATTTATCTCTTTAAAGACACTGAAAAATCTGGTGCCTTTAGACAGACAGAAACTAGATTTTCATATCACCAAACACAATAAGCAATATGTTGCTTAATAGAGAAGTTGTCATTGTATCATGATACCTTAAAGTTACTGTAAAGTTACAGTAAATATTCAGTTGATAAAATACCAACTTTGCAAGTTCATTCATGTCAATGAAAATGTTGTGAGAGATGATGCTGGTCATTGGATTTGGTCAATGTACTTTTAATCTTGGCTCCAGGGTAAGTGATAAGCTGAAGCGGTTGTTTTCCTGTGTTTTGTAGGATACTATATTACTGAACAAAACCAGTGACAAAGCTGATAATTTGCTGAAACAGAATACTGTTAGTGCGTAATTGGTAAATTTTGTCTTTGCTCAGTTTTCAGAAAGGCAAAGTACCCATGGCTCCTACTGGCTTTGTTAAGAGCTGTAAACAAAAATTCAGCATTCAGTGATGAGCTCCAATCTGAATGCTTTGCATCCGTTCTTGGTGTTTACAATTATAATGCATGTATGAAGTCCCATGGAAGGACACATTTTTATATGTATGCAGTTCTGTACCTTTGCTATTAAGGAAACTGCACTGAATGAAAGGGCTTGTTTCTAAAGAACAGAGTTTGTAACATCTAACATACTTACTTTTGGAAGCCAGGAAATTAAACAGGTAGGAAAGAAATGAATTTACAGTACTTCTTACACTAAGGCATGTTAATAGAGAATTTGGAAGAAAGGGTTTAGCAAAAGTTATGTTGCTAACAAAAGTGAATTTGCAAACATCTGAGAGGAAAGGCTGACCACTAACAGCCAGCCTGAATTTGTTAAGAACCAACTTGATTTTCTTTGACAAAGTAACTGGTGAGTGGATGAAGGGAATGCAGCTGATACATTATATTTGAACTTTAGTAAGGCTTTTGATATGGTCCCACAAGATATTCTCATACATAAACTGGAGAAATGTGGGCAAGATGAAGTTACTATAAGGTGGATTCATAATTGGCTCAATAACCCCAAGTAAAGAGTAATTATCTACTGATGGATGTCAGAATGGCTAGATGTTTCCAGTGGGGTTCCATAGGGATCTGTCCTGGGTCCAATGCTGCTTAATGTATTTAATGATTTGGATGTCAGAATAGAGGGCTTTCTGATCAAGTTGACAGATGATATGAAATTGGGAAGGCTGGCAAACACTTCAGAGGGCAGAGAGAGAATTTTGTAAGATCTTGACAGATTGGAGAGCTGAGCCAGAGACAAAAGAATAAAGTTCAACATGGTGGGTGTATCTACACATGCAGTTAACTGGAAGCGATAACAAACTGGAAGTTTATTGCTCCAGACTTTATTGCTCCCAGGCATGCCATTTGCCTGGGACTGCAGCACATCGAGCCAGGTTGCAGCAGCCCCAACTAGCAGGGGTCCCAGGGCATCAGCCTACCAGGCTGGGGCTGCTCTCCCTGACTCAACATGCTGCAGAAGGGCTCATTGGGGCATGAGGATTCTTCAGTGCAGGGCTAGCTGGTAAGCAGCACCCCGCACTGAAGCACCTTCATGCCCCAGCCAGCTGGAGCAGTATCTACATGTATGCTGCTACAGAGTTTTTTATTCTACAGCAGGATAGTACTTGTATTTATAAGTACTATCCTGCTGTGGGGTAAATTAGTTTACTCCAGCCTAATAGGGGTGCATGTGTAGACATGACTAATGAACTGTACAGTAAATGTCACAAATGTGCAGGAAAAATCTCATGTAGATGTGCCCAGACAGGTGTAAAGTGCTACACCTAGGGAAGAATAACCACAAGGATGAATACAGATAGGATGATAACTTGTTGGGCCGTAGTGTTGCTGAGAAGGGTCAGAGTTTTGGTGGATCATAGACTAGTCCTAAATCAGCAAGGTGATGGAGCCACACACACATACACACAAAAAATAAATAATCTGGGCTGCATCAACAGAATTATTAGGTGAAAGACATGGGAGGTGATAGTAGTACTTGCTGCTGATCAGGTCTCATTTAGAGTATTCTGGGTTCTACATATAAAATTTGTTATACTTCTTTCAATCAGTAGTTTTGATAGCTGGGTTCTACATTTAAAATTATAAGAAGGATGTGGAGAAGCTGGAGAGGGTCCCAAGCCAGCCAAAAATATAAGAGAGTTGGAAGGCAAATCATATAAGTAAATGTTGAGAGTGATAGGTATGTTTAGTGTGGTGAAAGAGGGGTTGGAGGTGAGGAAGAAGGGGGCAAGATAGTAGTTTTACAAATATCGGAAAGGCTCAAGCTTCAGTTTTTGTCTCCTTGTTCACCAGTTGTGCTACACCCTGTCAGGATTTCTCTTTTAGTAATGCCTCTAGTGATAAATTACACATGGATCATCCTATCATTGTGCAATAGGATTGCATTAACAAATAAAAAGCACTGCATGTGAAAGTGCATGCTTTTGATTTTCCTTTTTAAAAATGGTTATTGTAGAGTTAGGTATTAGAGTTAATGCCATTATTTTTTTTAAGTATTACTATGCAAGAATTAACTTGTTCCTCTTATTGCAAGTCATCCTTTTTCCCCTCTTGATTTTGATATTCTAGGTGAACCTAGAATATCAAAAGAGGATGATATTTTTCTAGATGCACCAAATTAAGGAAGGGGGGAGGGTTGGGGGGGTTGTTAGTTTGTTTTTCGGGGTTTGGGGTTTTTTTTTTTTTTTGCTCGGGAGCAATCCCATAGGTGAAAAAGAATCCCATGGGTGTAAAAAGCTACTGAAGGGGAAAAAAACCCTAAAAGGATCATCTAGGAGAATATCCTCTAAATACTGTCTCTGACAGAAAGGAGAGGTAGATGGATGGAGCTGCCTTTAGGATCCAGCTTGCAGGAGATGACAGCTTTCTGGTCTGTCTCTTTGGCCATTGCTCCCTTTACTTTCTTGGCAGCTCCACTCTAACAAAATTAAAAACATAACAATTAACTTGCAAATTTCTTGCTTCTCTTTCCTGATGCAAATGATCTACCTACTATTATTGATAAGGGAACTATGAGTGAAATGCAGGTGATTGTGTGCAATGAGCTGCTTATTATTTTAATATTGTGAAGCAGTGATAACGTTAAAAGTTCATGTTACCTTCAAATGTTACTATTTTTGACTGGTGCTTGCAAAAAAAATCTCTGGTCCAAGCGTGGTGGTGCCTTAAGCTTGAAGTACCTGGCCTGGCTGAGGGGAATGAGTTGAAGCTTGGGTGCTGCTGATGCTGGAGCTAGTAATTCATTTGGCTACTCTATGCTGCTAATATAAACTCTGTGTTGTTAATCCAGCTGGTAATTTAGTGTGATTCAAACTGTGCTAACTCAGGTGTAGGTAATTCAAACTAACACTGCAGTGAAGACAAAGACCTTTATCCCAGAGTAAGCAGAGAAGAAGGAGAAGGTGTTAGTTTAGAAGCAACATTCCTAGATTGCTCTTGACTCCCTCCCCAGACCCCAATCAGCATCCTTGGCCCTGAATTGTTTTTTCTTTGTTTTTGAGGATGTGTGTGTGATATATAGAACTAGGAGATGGTTTTTGTTGTTGTAAGTTGTTCTTTTCTCCCATATAACTTCCTCCTAGTGGATTTGCTTTTGCCTGTGTGACCTTGGTCAAAGACAACGCTAGTTTCAATTGCTGCATACACATTACTAATAGTCCATGTACTTGGAAGTGTCTCTCTGAGATGTGAAGAAATAATCATAAAAATGTTACATTTTATGATTCATGAAACTTTCAGTTGACATTGTGATGTAACAAACAGGAGTGCATGAAAAGCTTGTATAAGGCACTCCATTAATTGGTCTGGTTCTGGGAAATCTGTTTGGAAAGTGGCCTGTTAGTACTCGCTCTCTTCCTGTCCAATGCCATTCAGTTTTTTGCCTTTAATGAAGTTTAATCAATGAAAGAAATAACCAAAGTTCTAGGCCATCAACCCTGTAATGCTTTGCACACAAAATTATTTTTTGACACAAAGCAGTTCCTGAATCCATTTCTTTTTCTCCTTAGATGAACAGAGGAACTAGACCTATTTTTTCCATACCTAATTTCAATTTTGTTTAAATGAAATTGTAAGTGATTCTACTTTGGATGTAAAACTTGCTAGACTAACTCTCATTCATGTATTCAGCACTACAAATGGAGCTGTTCTGCATTTTAATACTTTGAAGAAAATTGACTCCTGTGATCTCCATAGTAACAAGTAATATTACACTTTTTCTGGCTTCTGTTTTGCTGATATGTTAAATATATTTTCATGGCATATAAAACATGCCTGTGAAAAGAGATTAATTTCCATGACAATAGTGACTAATGAATTACAATATTATGAGGCCAATATTAGTGATATTTGGCTGCTGTTTCTAATAAAAGGTCAAATGATCTTGTTGCTAATACTTCATTGTCAACTGTGGCGGGGAAAAAATCCTTCAAAATAAAAAAGCTGCAACTATTAAAGGTTTTATACCTATAGCAAAATAGCTGCTTCTCACTTGCTGCTGCATGAGACTCTCACAACCAAAAGCTATTTTTTAATCATTATTTTCACTACCTTTTTCAATGATAGTCATCTGAGGTGACACTTAAAACAATGGTAGGTGAAAATATTAGATTAAAGTGTAATTTTGTAATGAATAGTGGCCCTTTAAGCAGGAGTCAAAGACAGGCAGAGGCAATGAAAATACTTTTAATCTCACTGTATGTGTAAATGAAAAGCTGGAATGACTGTCTTCCTTTTCTCTGTAGAATGCTATGCCATTTGCAAAGGAACAGAGGTTAGGTGAACAACTTGCTGAAGCAGAATACTGCCAGTGCTTCAGAGATGGACAAAGGTAAGCTTTGTCTTAAGTTGCCTAATTTTCCAAGATGCTAAGCTTCATTAAGAACTGTAGATGAAAATCAGTGTTCAGTGACAACTCCAGTCTAAATACATTGCATCAGTTCTTGGTGGTGTTACATCATAATATGAATATGGAATCCCATTCCAAGACACATTTTCATAAGGACGTCATTCCATACCTTTGCTATTAAGGCAGCAACACTAAAGGAAAGAACTTGAGTCTTAAGGTGGTTTTGCTGGTTTATGGCATAGCTTGTGAATAGAACTTATTCTTCTGACATACTTGTTCTTGAAAACCTGAGAACTAGCCAAGGATATGAAAGTATAGCACTTCTCACACTACGGTAGATTTCTTCATGTAAAATTTGGAAGGATTTAGTAAGAGCTGTGTTCTTTTAACAATGCAAGTGGTGTATGAAGCCTTGAATTTTCTTCTCTAGCTTTCTAATTGATATTGTTTGAGCATTTTTTTTCATATTCTGTTCAAAAGAGCCAGCTGCCAATAGAAGTGCTAAAGTTGGCCCTTGCTGGTCCTATACTCTTGGAGTACTGGTACCTCCTGATCCAGTTTCAGGGACACTTTAAGGAGTAAGAGAGGCATAAAATATGCAGTCCCAAATATAATTTGTTGGAAAGGTAGCTAGGACTGATGTAGACTGGTGGGGAGCCAGGAAAGAACCTAGGCATTGACTTCTCCCTCCTCCCATATACACATTGGTTGGCTTGAATAAACACAGTCCAGTGGAGCCCCATGCAAATGCTCTGGTTGCCTGGCCCTAAAACAGACCCTGAAAAGAAACATCTAGTGACAGCCTAAAAGCAATGGAAGCATCACAGAAGGAAGTAATAGGCCTGGGTTTGCGCTGATACATTCAGTCCAGAACAAACAGACATTTCTGGGGATATGCAGAGTATGTGTCAGGATATGACATCCCTTAGTGGATCACATGGTACCACCAGTAGCATGAGTGCAAATTTAGGCTTGCAGCAATCATGAGGAATTACCAGATTCAGGAGGAGACATGTTCCCAGTACCAGCCAAGAACCATTTTTCTGCACCCCATTCTAAGCCTGTCTCTGTCTCTAGGCAAACTGGAGGAATTAAACAGAGGGAATGGCTTTTTTCAAGCCCAGAAACAGTAGGAAGGAAACAACATCATTCTGTTCATCTAATAAAGCAAAACAAAGGTAAAGGGGAGATGAAGGAAAGTACCTGAAAGATGGATGGAGTTCAGAGTGAATGGTGGTATCTTTTATGTATGTAGATTGGCTAAGAGAAGGGAACTGGTCAGAAAACAGGAACAGAGCAACCAAGAGATGGAATGACCATGTAAACAAATGTTAAGAAGTGGGTAGACTGTAAATGGAGCAAGGAAGGGATAGTGTACATGAGAGAGGTGTCTCAGTTTATCATTTTTATTTTCCTGAAATGGCCACTTTATTTTTCCTACACAGAATTGCACTCTCTCCCCTAAGCCAAATGGTGGTGCTTAAGGTTTTATGTTAGTGAAAATCATAAGTATAAAAAAAATTAGTTTAAGAACTCTTGTGGTGTTGCATCTTGCTGATTCAATCAAAGGAAACAAAGGTTAGTGGTTACTTCTGGTTATATTTTATGTTGAATTTCTAGGGGAACGTAGCTTGGGATCATCAAATGCCATGTTGGAATCGGTGTGGTATTTGTGTTACTGAACGTACTTACTGCAACTGGGCAACACAATGTTTCTTGTAGGCATAGGCAGAGAGAGAAAATATTATTTGTGGGGGCTGAGTAAAACTTAAACTTAAAAGGTACTTCTACTGTGCTGCTACACAGACACCACCCAGCAGGTAAGTGTGTGGGGGTAAGGGGCATGCGGGGGCAGATTGAGACCCCTGTGGTGAGGGAGTGGGGCAGAGACAAGGGCAGGGGCTGGGGTGAATGGGGCCCTGGGGCAGATCATGGGATGGTCGGAGTTGCGGGCAGCTCATTCAGGGGTGCAGGGTGGCTCCTGCCACTGTGCACAACCCATGGGAGGCTTGGGGGCGGCATGTGCCCCCCAGATTTGTGCATAGATTCATAGATGTTAGGGTCGGAAGGGACCTCAATAGATCATCGAGTCCGACCCCCTGCATAGGCAGGAAAGA